CCAACATGACTACTTTCTTAAAAATCGAAGAGAGGGTAAAGGAACAGTACCATTGCTGGATAATTGGAAAGTCCCTGTGTGTCAACCTCTGTGCTTCGTGGCAAGGTAGACTAGCAAACATGCCCAACCTTTACTCATATTCGAGAAAACACTCCCAACAAGATTGCTTGCTCCAAAAATCGAAGAGGGCACCGCCCTCCGAATCTCGAGAGCCACTCTCCCAACATGATTACTTTCTCAAAAATCGAAGAGACACTGCTCCCCGAATCTCGAGAGCCAGACCCCCAGCATGATTGCTTTCTCAAAAATCGGTGAGGCACCGTTCTCCGAATCAATCGAAGAGGCGCTCGCTTTCTCAAAAGCTGGGCTGCTCAGAGACCACGAGGGCCGATCTCAGAAATCAAAGAGGCACCTACTTTTCTAGCCTTGTCAGCACCTGTCACACGCACACTCAGCTTTGCAGAAATTATGGGCATTCTGTCGAAGACTTCTGGTGAAGTAGAAAGCACATGAATCTTACTGTTCAATCACCCACTTCCCAGACGCAACAATAACTCATGGGTATCACAGATCACTTTGCCAAAGTTCTCTGCCAAAGTTGAGCACGTGAAGCTTGCAGCTCCCACTACATCGCTCTGACCAAGAAAGGTAAAAGAATAGCAAAGAAACAGCACTAACAAAGTTTAGACACATAAATTTTGAAGGTCTAGCTACCATATTATTACCCACAAGGGTAAAGGAACAGTACCACTGCTGGATAATTGGAAAGTCCCTGTGTGTCAACCTCTGTGCTTCGTGGCAAGGTAGACTAGCAAACATGCCCAACCTTTACTCACATTCGAGAAAACAGTCCCAACAAGATTGTTTGCTCCAAAATCGAAGAGGCACCGTCCTCCGAATCTCGAGAGCCAGACTCCCAACATGACTACTTTCTCAAAATCGAAGAGAGGGTAAAGGAACAGTACCATTGCTGGATAATTGGAAAGTCCCTATGTGTCAACCTTTGTGCTTCGTGGCAAGGTAGACTAGCAAACATGTCCAACCTTTACTCACATTCGAGACAACACTCCCAACAAGATTGCTTGCTCCAAAATCGAAGAGGCACCGCCCTCCGAATCTCGAGAGCCAGACTCCCAACATGATTACTTCCTCAAAAATCGAAGAGACACTGCTCTCCGAATCTCGAGAGTCAGACCCCCAACATGATTGCTTTTCTCAAAAATCGAAGAGGCATCATTCTCCGAATCTCGAGAGCCAGATACCACAGACCACTTTTTCAAAGTGCTCTGACAGAGTTAAAACATGTGAAACTGGCAGCTCCCACTACCGTGCTATGACCAAGCAGGGTAAAGGAATAGCATTACTACTTGTTGTTAGGGAGACTCCTATATATGTCGACCTCCATCCCCAACGGACAGGCAGACCTGCAAAAAATGCTCAACCCTTCATCATATCTGAGAGGGCACTCCCAACAAAGCCTTTCGAAATATTCAGCTTTCTTTCCCCCCGATAATACCTCTGCAAACAAGCTATACTAGAGCAAGAATATCTCATATCATCAGGGTTAAAAGCAAGAGTATCCCATATCATGCTTTTTCCCCTGTTTTTTCTTTTTGGCCTTGTTTTTACCTGCAAGACAAGGAGAAAGAGAGCAATCAGTCAGCACTTGGAATCAAGCTTCCAGCCAGGAACTGACTGCCTGGAACCCCTTACCTGATTACTTACCTGGCATTGCTCTCGAGTACTCATCTTCAACATCTTATGTTTCCAGGGAAGATTCCGCATCTGCTTGAGGAACAGATAGGGCAAGTGCGAAGGATACAAGGAAGCATGTGGAGACAAGCGTAACAGCACACGTGCCGATACATCCATTTACTCTGTCAAAAGCAAAAGTATCCCATATCAGCAGGGTGGAACGTACTCTAGATTTGATGGACTTGTTTTGACCCTCAAATTCTTCAGTCGGCCTTATACTCTGGAGGAAACCAGAAAACCCTCCAGCTCAGTTCAAGAATAAGCCTGTGGAAAGTTACTTCTTCAAAAGCAAAAGTATCTCATATCATCTCTTCTCATTTTTCTTCTCTTTATCCTTCATGCTGCTGCAAGATGGGGAGAAGGTGAACAATCAGTCGGAGCTCTGATTGCTTACCTTGTCTGTCACCTCTTTCAGCAGACCCCCTAGCTCGGCGACTTGGGGGACTCCTACTACATGGTTTGTATCGCGCTTGACCAAGCCTGAAACTACAAGTAAGCTTCAAGTGAAATTGATACATTACCTTGTGCATCTCCACCAGTTAAAGATACCACCCCTGGATGGAGGAAGAGTACTTCCAGAGAAAGATGCCACATCTACCTATGAGACAGATAAGGCAAGTCAAGACGACACCACACTCCGATACTTAGAAGTTTCGTGATTACGAGATCATTCTCCCCACAATATTTCCTAATGTCATTTTGTACTAAATCATTCACTCGTACTCACTAAAGGAGAGCTTGAACCTATGTACTTGTGTAAACCCTTCACAATTAATGAGAACTCTTCTATTCCGTGGACGTAGCCAATCTGGGTGAACCACGTACATCTTGTGTTTGCTTTCCTATCTCTATCCATTTATATACTTATCCACACTAATGACCGGAGCAATCTAGCGAAGATCACAAAAAGCGACCGTTTTCGTTACCTATGATCTATCTTGCAAGAGAACGGAGAATTAGATGGAGATCTCAACCATAGAATACGAGCTGGATGGAAAGAGTGCATCCGGCGTGTTTGTGTGACCGTCGTAGGCCACTGAAGCTCAAGGGAAAATTTTTATAGGACGGCAATAAGGCCAGCGATGTTGTATGGCAGAGAAATGTTGGGTGGTGAAGCATCAACACGTACACAAAATGGGTGTAGCGGAGATGAGGATGCTTCGTGGGATGTGTGGGCACACGAGAAAGGATAAGATTGGGAATGAGGATATCCGAGGTACAGTAGGAGTAGCCGAAATTGTAGGAAAGATGAGAGAAAATCGGCTCTGGTGATTTGGACATGTGCAAAGAAGGCCGACTGACGCTCCGGTTCGAAGATGTGACTACGGGACAGAGGTTCAGGGCCGAAGGGGTAGAGGAAGACCTAGGAAAACTTTGGAAGAGACTCTAAGAAAAGACTTAGAGTACTTGGATCTAACGGAGGACATGACACAAAACCGAGCGCAATGGCGTTCTAGGATTCATATAGCCGACCCCACTTAGTGGGAAAGAGGCTTTGTTGTTGTGTTGTTGTTGTTGTTGTTGGTAAACTGGGAAGATGGATGTTTGGATACTAGTAAAAGAGAAAAAATGGTATGTTTGGTTAGCAAGATAGTGGGTGTTTGGGGAGAGTTTTATTTGACAGGCCTTCCCTTACTGTTCTTCTTTTCTCATGCAAATGAACTATCATTTGCATGCATGTCGTCTCTAGCTATTACTATTAGTGGATCTCTCATCTATAAGACGACAACATACAAGAGAATACCATTGGGTGGTGTGGGTGGCAAACAAGATTCTAATAACATAAAATTATGTTTGGTCCTATCCTATGGAACAAAGTATCACCAGCCGGTGCAAACAACGCAAATCTAAACACACACACATATACTAGCATTTGCCTACATAATTTGTGTGTATGAACATTTTTTTTTTAAATGAGAAGGAGAGAGGGGGAGAGAGAGAACGTGGAGAGAGAGGGAGGTTTTTGTTTTTGGTTTTTTTTTTTAATTTTTAAATATTGGAGATATTTTAACATCATATGTAGGTGCGGCTTTAATAAAAAACCAGTAAAATTTGGATCTGCAAAATTACATTATTGCCCTTTTTGTGTGATAGAAGACTAAGTATAGAAGATTAAATAGTATTTTCATCATCTTTTGATTGACAAAAGGAATTTCATTAATTAATATATATATATATGTATGTATGTATGTATGTATGTATGTATGTATGTATGTATGTAAAAAAATTCAAAATAGCTCTTTTAAAATAAGGGAAATGTTATTAGCACCTCAAAAATCTCATTCTACACTTCTCATAAGTGTATTTTTCTTTCTAATTATAGAAAATTTAAAGTGCAAAATAAGATTTTTGGAGTACCAATAACAATTCCCTAAAATAAATTTTCTAAATACGGAATCTCACCGGAGTTGTTATATGATATCCAATATTGCGCTATTAATTTTTAGGACACAACTCCAACAGCCATCACCACCACCACCCTCACCACCACTGCAACTATCGCCACCAATATCGCTACCATCTTTACCGCCACCACCTCCCACTATCATTGCCGTCATTATCACTACTACCACCACCGCTGCTATCTCCACGTCGTCACCTCCACCACCATGGCCACCACAACCTTTACCATTTTCGGCATCATCACCATCACCAAATTCTCGATCAACGTCGCCGATACGATACCACCCCTCTCCATCATTGTTACCTCAATCTCCCTTCGTCTAGGACCAATCACCATGGCTGCCATTATCATACTTGTAAATAAATAAAAATTTGAATTCTCTTCAAGATGAACAAAATCAGACACTTGGCAGCCTCCTAGCTCTGCTCGACCTTTCAGAGTGAGGTTGTCTCTGTTCCTAACCTCGCGTTGCTCGAGCTCATGACTGCCTGGATTTCGCAGTTGAGAATCGGGGGTCAACTCCATCGTTCCATCTAGATCAGTAGCTCTGTGGTACAAACTTCAATTGGTGGTCTTCAACGAGCAAATTGTTCTACATTTCGTTCTCTGCCTCATGCACCGGCTTTAAGCGTGCAGATATGGTGTTTTTTTTTAAATGCCTCAGTGAAATTCAAAGCAGATTATATATGTTTTTCTTAGTTTTTAAGATTTGAAAACAGTTACCTAAGTTCTGTAGCAACCAAGTTTTTTTAGTATAAAAAGTTGTATGTGAAAACTTGTTCATGGTCTCGACATCTATTTGCAAGTGTGATATAACCTTGTTTTTTCTTTTACTAAGCAGATTTCTCAAAAGATGCAAAAGAAAACAAAATGATTTGCATACTGCTCTGTTTCTCTTCAAGTCTAGTCTCGATCAAAAGGTATGACCTATTGTTTCATTCTTTAATTCATCTGCTTTAAAAATAAGGATTTCTTTCTCGTATATATATATATATATATTTTTTTTTTATTTTGGATTCGTATATATTCAACAGATCAGAGAAGCAGACGAATTGGTAAGCTGAAGGTGCCATGGCGATGGATATACTCACTGCAATCATTCCTACAATAATTGACTACACAATTGGACCAGTTGCACGCCAAGTGGGTTATATCATTTTCTACAAAAGCAACCTCGAAGATCTAAAGAGTAAATTGGAGAATTTTGATTCTGTCAAACAAAGGATGAAGCATGAAGTTGATGAAGTCGGAAGAAAAGTTGATCAAAAAGTGGAAGCTGATGTCCAGAAATGGCAGTCAGATGCGGAGAAGACCACTCTGGAGGCAAAAGCACTCTTGCATGATGAAGGCGCAAAGACAAAGTGTTTCATTATATGTCCTAATCTGATATCCTATCATCAACGTAGCAGGAAGGCAACAAAACTGATGAAAAAGATTGAAGAACATGAAAATAAAAAAAAAGAATTCTCCAGTGTTTCTTACAAAGCTCCCGTAGAAGACATATCTGCCATAGCCTCCGACGAGTACATGGCCTTTGAATCCAGGATTTCTATGGTGAAGGATATCGTTACAGAACTGAAAAAACCTGATATCAACAGGATTGGGGTGTACGGATTAGGGGGCGTTGGGAAGACAACACTTGCCAAAGAGGTTTACAGAGAAGTTGTGAAAGAGAAGTTATTTGATGATGTGGTTATAATACTAAATGTGAAAGAAAAAAAAGACAATGAAAAAATTCAAAATGAAATTACCAGAAAGTTGAGCATGGATGTTGATGAATCAAAGGACATGGGAACAAGGGCGAGTCTCCTACGGGCCAGGATAAAAGATGGGAAGACTCTTGTCATTTTAGATGATGTTTTGGAAAGAATTGACTTTGAGGCTGTGGGACTTGTCGGTGTGCCGAACTGTAAGTTATTGTTGACATCTAGAGAAAAAAAAGTTTTCTTCTCTGATATGCGTACCCAAAAAGAATTTCCACTTGGATTTTTAAGCGAAAAAGAAAGTTGGAGTTTGTTTGAGAAGATGGCAGGTGATGTTGTTAAAGACAACCGTATACTGAAGGAAGCAACCCAGCTAGCAAAGAAATGTGGAGGTTTGCCGGTTTTGGTTGTTGCAGTTGCAAGTGCTTTAGGGATGGTAGTTTGGAGGAATGGAAAGATGCGTTGAGAAGTTTCAAAAGATTTGACAAGAAAGAGTTGAATGAAAAAGCATTCTTGGCTCTAAAGTGGAGTTACGAACAATTGGAGGATCAAGAGCTTAAGCAATTGTTCTTGCTTTGTGGGAGTAGCTGCAATTATCTCAGTGACTTGTTGAAGTATAGTATGGGTTTGGGTTTGATAAAAAATGTTGAGACAGTGGAAGAGGCACGGACTTCATTGAATGTAATGGTTAAAAAATTAAAAAATTCTTGCCTATTGCAGGACAGCTATGACGATGACACTGTTAGAATGCATGAACTTGTACGAGATGTTGCTGTCCGGATTGCAACTGTTGATCAAAAAGCCTTTTCAAGAGCATATGGAGATGAGGTGAAAGAATGGCCAACTGAGGATTTCCTTGAAAAATGCACAAGGATGTCCTTAAAACGTTGTAAGATCCCCAGGCTTCCTGAAGTACCTTGGGAATGCCCAGAATTAAAATTGTTGATCCTGGATATTGGTAGTATTGGCAACTCCCACGAAATCCCAAGCAAATTTTTTGAAGGGATGAAAGAACTCAAAGTGCTGGATGTAACCAGATTCAGTATTCAGTCACTACCTCCATCTCTTCAATCCCTAAAGCATCTCCACACATTGTGCTTAGATCAATGCGAGTTGGTAGACATAACTCTTGTTGGACAGCTAACAAACTTGAAAATTCTTAGCCTCCTAAAGTCCAAGATTAAAAAGTTGCCCAAAGAAATAGGGCAATTGACAAGGCTACAATTATTGGATTTGACCGGTTGCTCTGAACTTGTTCTGATCTTACCTGGTGTTATATCAAGCTTGACAAGACTAGAAGACTTGAGGATGGGAATAAAAAGCTTTAAGCAATGGGAGGGTGAAGGTCCCACTAGCGGAGGAAGTAATGCTACTGTTTCAGAGCTGAAGCACTTGGCTGAACTAACTGCATTAGACATACATGTTCCAGATGCTGACCTTCTTCCACCGAACTTGTTCTCCGATAAGTTGGAAAGATACAACATACTTATCGGTGATTGTTGGGAGTATCCTGACACGTACGGAACCTCCTCTAACATGCTAAAACTGAAGCTCACCAGGAGAAATCAATTCGACCGAGGTATAAAGTTGCTGGTAAAGAGATGTGAGCAATTGTACTTGGATGGGAAGGAGAGTGGGAATATTATTTCCTTTCTATTTGACAGTGATGCTNTTTGATAAAAAATGTTGAGACAGTGGAAGAGGCACGGACTTCTTGATGTAATGGTTAAAAAAATTAAAAATTTCTTGCTATTGCAGGACAGCTATGACGATGACACTGTTAGAATGCATTACTTGTACGAGTGTTCGTCCGGATTGAACTAAAAACGCCTTTTCATGAGCATATGGAGATGGGTGAAAGAATGGCCAACTGAGATTTCCTTGAAATGCACAAGGATTCCTTAAAACGTTGTATCCCCAGGGCTTCCTTGTCTTGGGAATGCCCAGAATTTAAAATTGTGATCCTGGATATTGGTATATTGGCACTCACGAAATCCCAAGAAATTTTTGAAGGGATGAAGAATCAAATGCTGGATGTAACCAGATTCAGTATTCAGTCACTACCTCCATCTCTTCAATCCTAAAGCATCTCCACACATTGTGCTTAGATCAATGCGAGTTGGTAACATAACTCTTGTTTGGAAGCTAACAAAACTTGAAAATTCTTAGCCTCTAAAGTCCAAGATTAAAAAGTTGCCAAAGAAATAGGGCAATTGACAAGGCTACAATTATTGGATTTGACCGGTTGTCTGAACTTGTTCTGATCTTACACTGGTGTTATATCAAGCTTGACAAGAACTAGACTTGAGGATGGAATAAAAAGCTTTAAGCAATGGGAGGGTGAAGGTCCCACTAGCGGAGGAAGTAATGCTACTGTTCAGAGCTGAAGCACTTGGCTGAACTAACTGCATTAGACATACATGTTCCAGATGCTGACCTTCTTCCACCGACTTGTTCTCCGATAAGTTGGAAAGATACAACATACTTATCGGTGATTGTTGGGAGTATCCTGACACGTACGGAACCTCCTCTAACATGCTAAAACTGAAGTCTCACCAGGAGAAATCAATTCGACCGAGGTATTAAAGTGCTGGTAAAGAGATGTGAGCAATTGTACTTGGATGGGAAGGAGAGTGGGAATATTATTTCCTTTTCTATTTGACAGTGATGCTGTGGAACAACTGAAGTGTCTCCATGTCCAAAACAACGACGAAGTTACATATGTCATTAACTTCGTCAGTTGGAGTTATTCTCATAATACCTTCCCCAACCTGGAATCTCTAACTCTTGAAGACCTTGTGACTTTGGAAAGTGTATGTTATGGCCAACTTGTAGGCGAGCCCTTTCAAAAGTTAAAATCTTTGACACTTCGGAATCTACCGAAGCTTATTGGTTTCTTTTCCAAAGACAAGCGAACGATTGGTACAGATGCCGACGAAATCGTTTTGGAGGGAGAAGTTGGTGGACCACCGAGACTTTTCAGTAATGGAGAGGTACTTTCTCTGTTATTTTTCTAGCAAAATGGTTGCATGATTCTTTCTCCAAGTAGTTTTCTTCTTCGAATTTTTAATTTCTTTTTAAGATTTATTTTGATAACCCATGGTTTTTTTTTTAAGATTCCTTTTTAAGATTTAAGATTTATTTTTTCAATGAGCCAAAACCATTTAAATGATATATTTAAGTTATCAGGTTTTGATAACCCACGGTATTCAACTATTGAAATTCAACTAACAAGTCAAATCTTGTGCACCCATTTATGCATGTGACACCTCTGACTTTCATGCAATTTTGACATCTGTCCATTTACTCAACTAAACCTAACGGCGTTAACTCCCAATAAAATAAAAAATCAGAGCGCAGCCCAGCGTACTGGGTATCTCTCCCATCCCCTTCCTTCCTTCCCTCCCAACGCCACCAATCACCGCCACCAATCAACGCCACCTCTTCAAGTACAGCGGCAGCATCTCCCTTGATGACGTCATCGAGATCACCACGGTTATGAGGAACAGATCCATGGCCGAAGGAGCTCGCGGGAACGGTGAAGGAGATTCTTGGAACCTACATCTCGGTGGGCTGCACGGTCAACGGCAAGGACCCCAAGGATTTGCAATAGGAGATCGTCGATGGTGACGTCGAGATCACTCTCGATCGACAAGGGTGTAAATTCAACAAATTTTGCACCAAAAAGGATTTATTCTTCAATCTTCCCAAATTTGGTCGTCCCCTATAGTTTGAAGGAGCAATTAAATTGAAGGGCGAGGCTTTTGGGTTTGATTTAAGGATTTAATGTGTGAAGGAGATGCAATTGCCATTGCTGCTGTTGTGTTTGGGGAAGAGAGAGGAGGTTGGGCGGCTTCTTTTTCTTAACTTTTGCTAGAGTTATGTTAAGGTTACGTTTGTGTACAAGTGTCAAGTATTGACACGTGTCATAAAGAGATCATACTTTATTTATTTTTTCTTTTTTTTTTGTCAAAAAGCCACACTTATTTTAGGTATAGAAAATTTGAACCCGGCTTTAAGTAATAGGATGATTGATTCACCACTTACCATAATGATCTTTCACAATAATGTGTTTTTGGTATCAATTTAAAAATAAAATAGGTTTTTGTTTTGTCGAAAACAAAAATGTTTAAATTTAAAATTAAATTAACATAATTTTGGCCCTATATATATTTTTTTTCAGATGGTTTTTTACTTCAGTTTGTTCTTTGCTAATTAATGAAAGTACAAGGACATGCATCTGTCTAGTAGCCTAGTAGCTTTCTTTTTAAGTATATGACATTTACTTTATATCTAACCATTTAGAATATATACGGCTAACAACGATGTAAATTGTAATTTTCTTAAATAAACATGAATTTTGTTATGTGCTATGCAGGTTAAGATGCCCAACTTAACAACCTTGATTGTGCATCAATGTGATAGTTTAAGATTTTTGTTTTCGAGTTCCATGGCTAAATGTCTTGGACAACTCAAAAATCTCAAAATATCTAATTGTCAAATCATGGAAGAGATAGTGGGAAATGAGGAGAAAACAGATGACATGTTTGATAAGCTAAGCCATCTAGAGTTACAACATCTTCCAAACCTTGCTAGATTCAGCTCAGGAAGTTACATTAAATTTCCGTCTTTGGCGTATCTGAATCTAGACAATTGTACTAAACTGCAGACTTTCATCTTTGATGCTAAGAGTGAAAATATTACAACCAACAAAGAAGAAAGAGATATTGAGCTCTTTGATGAAAAGGTGAATTATAAGTTCACTTCTTTTCTTTATGCTTTTATTTCTAACTTATGCATGCGTCCCACTCTTGTGAAGAAAGGTTTGTTCACAAGGTCTAAAATGAATATTTGACAGGTAGGATTTCCTAGCTTGGTGGTATTGTGGATACAGGACTTACCTAAATTGAAGACAATATTCCACAACCAACTTCATTCAGATTCTTTTGGCAAGCTCAGAATTATGGATGTTCGTAGATGCCACAGTCTAATTAATATATTTGGGCCAAGTATCATGGGTAGATTGAATGCTCTAGAGTTATTACGAATAATGCATTGCCAGTCACTACAGGTGGTATATGACACATCTATATTCAGTTTGAACCGTTTTGAGTGCCCAAATCTATACTCAGTTTGGATAGACTCATGTGAGAGTTTGAAAAATGTATTTCCCACCTCAGTGACCAAAGATCTTAAGCAGCTAAACAATTTCAGTGTCAAGAATTGTGGTTTAATGGAGGAAATTGTTGTGAAGGAAGAAGGACCACAAACGACATACGAGGAGTTCGAGTTCCCTAAAGTAACAAATATGGAATTTGATAATCTACCCCAACTTCGGAGTTTCTATCCAGGACTGCATGTTTCTAATTGGCCATCACTCAACATATTAAAGTTCAAGAAATGTGGTGGTGTGAAAATTTTTGCTGTTGAATTTTCAACATATCAAGACAAGTTTAAGTTGGGCCACCCAATACCAAAGGAACAACCTTTCTTTTTAATTGAGAAGGTAACCATACTTGTACACAACTCTTTTGATATTCGAAATTTTATGTGATTTTTACATACTAGTTTAACATACACCATCAAGTAAATACATTTATTACCTTTTTAATATTAAAGTTATTATGTTTTGTCCAGTTTTTCAAAATATTTTAAAGTATGCTCTTATTGTTGATTATATTTCAGGGTAAGTCATTCCTCAACTTGGAAGTGTTGATGTTGGACCGGAACACGGAGATTTGGTATGAACGGTATGGTCCACTCCCGACAGAGTTGTTGAGTAAAGTAAAGACAATTCTTTTTGCTACTTCACATCCCAAGTCAGATGTTTTCTTTGAGAATTTACAGAATACTGAAATGCTTGTTGTGCTCTCTGCTCCTTGGAAAGAATTATTTGTCCACGACCACCAAGGAAGTAGTAGAGGGGAAACACATGAAGTTGAGATCCTCCCACGTGTAAAGGTTTTGCAGCTCACCAAAATGCCGGAGCTGATTCATCTAGGAATGGAAAACTCCCAACCAGGGGGCCCTGTTCTTCCAAACTTGGAAGTTCTAAGGCTGATCAAATGTGGTAGATTAGAGAATCTAGCTTCAACTTTGATATCCTTTCGGAATCTAACCTTTTTGACCATACGGAGTTGTCACGGACTGCAATACTTAAAACCTTATTCTGTGGCTAAGAATTTGCAGCAACTCATGGGGTTGGAAGTTGTGTCCTGTCAAAGAATGGTAGAAATAGTAGCGACCAACGAAGATGATCCAGAAAATGAGATTACTTTCAGTTGCTTGCAACATTTGAAGCTTTCTGGTCTACCAAGTTTGCAAGGCTTTTGCAGGGGAAATTGCATTTTCAAAGTCCCATCCTTAAAAACTTTGATTGTCGAGGACTGCCAGCTGATCGACTTAAAGATTTCTTCTGATGGGTTACTCCAAAGTGATCCAAGACCAGAAAGATTACAAATGGCAGAGGAAATTGATGATGTACCGATGCTAAGTGATTCAGAGGAGAATGATCATGATCAAACTGTAAGTACTTCATTCACTAATTAAACAACTATTAATTTCACTCTCCAATTTTTCAGCTTTTTCTGAACCTTGAACCGTAAAATTTAGAAGTCTGATTTATTCATCTTATTCATAGTTGTTCAATCAGATTTCATACTGAACAATTTAAGTGTTTATTTCGTCAACGAAATATATATTTCTACAGGAGCACCTGATTATTGCAGATTCAAATGTAGATGTTACAATTGCAGGACTCTCTGCCAAAAAGGAATCCTCATCTTTTGCCTAGCGTGTTAAGGTTTTCCGATTGTGTGCAATTGCGTGTTTGTTCGTTATTTTCCTCTGCCTTTTGTTTTTCCTTTTCAAGGAAGAAATATTAGCCTGGAGAACAGACAGGAAGGCACTCTGATTTTCCTTGTTACTTGCTCTAACTATTCTCTGTGCAATTTGAGAAGGCACTGAATCATATTCCACGTCATGTTATGCTTGTATTGACTTGTGTGTTTCGTCGTGATAGTGTGATTTGTATTTGAGGCTTTATTCGCTACATTTTCAGTTTTGGTGTTTGGGAAATAATGCTTGTGTGATTTCTGTAAACATTGATGCATTTGAGTGGTGAAAAATTATAAATATTGTATGTGTTAGAATAATGGATTAAACCAGAAATGTGCATAAAGGCTTAATGAATATTTAATTCGTTTCAATTCATTTCAAATAAGAAACAAACCAGAACTGCACATAAAAGCACACTAAATTACCAAATTTGAAAATTTTGGGCAATTTTAAAAATCAATTATTTTGGTTACAAATATTCAATTCGATTCATTTCAATTAAGAACCAAACCAAAAATGCACACAAAAGGTCACTGAAATCCAAAATTTGAACAATTTGACCAATTGGTTATCCTCAAAACAATTCAAAGAGCAATAATTCAGCATGAAAGCCGCAGATAAACAAAAGAAAGACATAATATAAGTGGGGAAAATACCCTCAGCAGCCATGGCACAAACAGAGAATTTCATCGAAATAGTCGATGTACCGTTTTAAATGAAACGAAGAGAGTGTCTTTACACAGTTACACGCCTGGCAGCGCATGCCAAATCTATTATCTATGAATCCTGCAAGACACAACGCAAACAATAAAAAACCATCCTCACAGACGACAACAAACAAAACAATAAACAGAGAGACTTGAACCAAATGTACAAACGGGAAAAAAAAACAGATTATGGGGAAAATTCCATCGAAATAGGCGAACTCCGGAAACTTCATTACCTTGACCTTGGTGAGAATTCCTTAAACTCTTCCAATCGCTTTTGAGCTTGGTTTTTGTAACTGTCACCGGAGTTGTGTAGCAGATTTGCTTTGCAAGTTTCAAAGTGAACAATAACAATCTAATAGGGTATTTGCCCGAGTGCTTGAGGAATTGTTCGGCATTGTCCAGAGTCTGGTTTGATATATATTATGGGTTTAGAGTTGTTTAAAATTGTCGATACTGTGGAAGAGGCACGAAATGCATTTCATTCATTGATTCAAAGACGGTTATGATGATCAAAGTGTTAGAATGCACGATCTTGAATTTGAGTGGTTGCTCTGGACTTGGACTGATTTCACCTAATGTTTCATCAAGCTTGGAGGGTGAAGGTATGATCGATGGATAAAGTTACAGATGCCAGAGTCTAATAAATATCCTTGTGCCAAGAACGATGGGCACATTGAATAATCTAGAGACCTTGCGGATATGGCAATGACAGTCACTACAATTGGTATTTCAACTGAAATCTTTTGAGAAAACATCTACCAATCATTTCAGAAAATATCTTCATCAATGTAAAGGATCTTCCCTCACAGCATAATAAGCACAACTTGCACGGCTGAAAAGCCAGCAACTTGTTAGGAGTAGGTTTTGCTTGCCCTTTTCTCATAGTTACTACAATAAGAAGAAGCAATGCAATGGAACAAATTTATCCAAGAAGCACGTAAAACAAGGCAATTTGCACGAAAGTAGTCGGCTCAAATTTTATATCTCAATGTAGTTCTGACCTCTTTATGTCCTTTTTCCTTCCAGGTTTTCACCTGGTTCAGAACAAACACCACAAATTGAAATCACTTTTACATGATCGACTAGACCTAAGGAACCCAATGAATGACAAAGTATACAATTCAACAAACATAATTTATCTTCACAATTTACAACCTCAAATTCGATAACCCTTTTGCCAAAATAACAATTGCAAAACCTAATTGAACATTGATCCCGAGTAACCACTCCGAATTTCCCAGTTCCGACCGGAATCACCGCGAAAACAAGAATCAAATGCAGAAAAAGCACGAAAGAACCAAAATTTAGGAAAGGGAAGAAATACCCACATAAGTATTCAACTGCCTGACGAAGTTACAGAATTTCTGTGCTTGAAATACTTGGGCAGGAGGTCCCTCGAGAACTCAGGGACGTTCCAGACGCCGAAGCTGTTGTTGCCGTTGCTCCAGGAGGGAGACAAAGGTGTCGGTGGAGGGCTCATCCACCATATCGTAGATTTTGTTCAGAAACGGCGGCAGCGGAGTGTTGGCGGAGTTGATCAGCGATGCCGCGTCTTCGACTCCCTCCATGGTTGTTTTTTTTTTTAATGGAGTTTTAACGAAAAGGTTAGTACAACTCATTTTAACAAAAAATTATATTTTTACATTAAAAAATTAAATATGATACTATTTATTTTATCCATTAATATATCCTTATCGTTAAAATTCAAAATTTTCAAAATTTTTTCATTAGTTTTCAATTTTTTTAATTTTTAAGAGAGCTGAGAGAATTAGTGGAGAGAATGAAAGAAAGGTCCCCCCTTCTTACATAAATGTATTTTATTTATCTATTATGTATTGGGAAAATTAGAATCTCTTGTACTTTTTTAATACTCTTTAAATTAAACATTGGTTTTATTTTGAAATTTGATTAGGATGCCTAAACAATAGTCATGTCAACATTTTTATATTTATTTAGATTACATGTAATTATTGTCTCATTCCGACCAGGCTCCCACCACATCCCAGGCTTGACTCCGCCATAGCACGATAGTGTCTGCTTTGGGCCCCGACCACGTCCTCACGATTTTGTTTCTAGGAACTCACGTGAGTAAAACTTCCCAGTGGGTCACCTATCTTGGGAATGCTCTGGCCCCTTTCTCGTTTAACTTCAGAATTCTTACGGAACCCAAAGCCAATGAGCTCCTAAAAGACCTCGTGCTAATTGGAGGTGGGTATGTACATATAAGGCATAGAGGATCCACTCCCTTGGGCGATGTAGGATTTCACTCCACCCCCCTTAGAGGCTCGATGTCCTCGTCGGCACACTTCCGACCAGGGATTAGCTCTGATACCAAATTGTCACATCCCGACGCAGGCCCCTACTACATCCCGGGCTCGACTCCGCCCTAGCACGATATTGTCCGCTTTGGGCCCCGACCACGCCCTCAAGGTTTTGTTTCTGGGAACTCACGCGAATAGAACTTCCCAGTGGGTCACCACTTATGGGAATGCTTTGGCCCCTTTCTCGCTTCACTTCAGAGTTCCTACGGAACCTGAAGCCAGTGAGCTCCCAAAAGGTCTCGTGCTAATTGGAGGTGGGTATGTACATATAAGCCATAGATAATCCACTCCCCTAGGCGATGCGGGATCTCATAATGGCCCCGGGTCGGATGTGACAATTATTGTGTTTTTTTAATTTAAAATGTTAATTATTAAATTCCATAAATATCTTTTTAGGTTGATATATTTTTGTACGTGGCCTTTTTTTTAGGAAGCCAGTTTCTTCTCTCACGTTTAAGCCGTATAGTTTCTTCTCCCACGTTAGAATTATGTGATCCTTATTTTTGAATTTTGAATTTTGAATTTTGAATGGACTTATCCATTTCAATTAGTGGTTGTTTTCATTAGTTTATATTGATGTCATGTGAGATAATTAAACGTATTCTCTATTTTCGGAGGCTTGAGGCTGGTACATTCAGATAATATATTTAAACGTATGGAATATGTACTAAGAAGATATATAAAGTAACGTACCAAATATGTTTTCTTAAATAAATATAAACATACCAAAATAAGATATATAAATGTACCAAATACATACAAAAAAGAAATATGAACATACTAAATAAGTACCAAGAACATATATAAAGTAACGTACCAAATATGTTTTTTTTTTAAATAAATATAAACGTACCATGTTGATGCACAAAACCGGAGGGGTCTTGGAACAACGTAAATCCGACCGTGAATCTGCAAGAAAGTAAATAACACAAAATGTATCATGGTTCACCCCAATGTTTGGGCTACATCCACACTGATTATGATATTTCTGATAAGATTGTGAGACAGAGCTTCTGAGGGTGAAAGGGCCTAGGAATTGGCCTCCTCTCATTGTGAGGGTGAGGGGTCCATTTATAGAATAAGGGTTCCTCACTTATTACATATTTGCCCTTTCCTTTATTACATAATTACACTTAAGTCCCCTGAGTATTTATACGAGGTCTAAATACGAATGCCCTAAGTATGGTATGGTATAAACAGTAGTCCCCCAAGTCTTCAGTCAAGAGAGTCTTTTGGCTGGAGACTTGAAATTCAGTCCATGTGTGGGCCAAAGTAACTAGATGTTGTCTTGAACTAATGCTCGATATGAGGCGATGCTTAATCGGAAATGATGCTCAACTAGAAGTAGCACATGCTGTGAGGCTGCTCGGCTCGTGGCTCATGTTGCCTTGGTTGGCTCGGCTTGTGGCGTTGAAGGTGAGGGAGTCCCTTTTATAGAATAAGGGCTCGCTTCTCAATACATGAATGATGGGCTAGAGTTGATGCTCTCTAATGATGGTGAGGGAGTCCCTTTTATAGAATAAGAGCTCGCTCCTCAATACATACATGATGGGCTAGAGTCCCCCAAGTATTTTTCATGTGGCCCAGTTGAGGCCTAATATATGGTGTATAGTGTAGTCCCCTAAGTCTTCGGTCAATAGAATCTGTTGGCTGGAGACTTCAAATTGAATCCATGTATGGGCCGAAATGGCGGTTGTTCAGATGCGGTATTTGTATACCCTGCACTGAAGCTTTGTAGGTGAAGCTTTGCAAGTGAAGCTTTGAAGCTGGAGCTCTGTAAATGAAGCTTATGAAGCTAGAGCTTTTGTAAATAAAGCTTTTGAAGGTAAAGCTCTGTAAATGAAGCTTTTGAAGCTGGAGCTTTGTAAATGAAGCTTTTGAAGCTGGAGCTATATAAATGAAGCTTTTGAAGCTGGAGCTTTGTAAATGAAGCTTTTGAAGCTGGAGCTATATAAATGAAGCTTTTGAAGCTAGAGCTCTATGAATGAAGCTTTTGAAGCTAGAGCTTTTGTAAATGAAGCTTTTGAAGCTATAGCTCTGTAATTGAATCTTTTGAAGCTAGAGCTTTTGTAATTGAAGCTTTTGAAGCTAGAGCTCTATAAATGAAACTTTTGAAGCTGATTGACATGAGTGATGCTCATGAATGTTTATGTTGAATGACATGAGTAATGCTCATGGATGCTAACATGAGTGATGCTCATGAATGTTGACATGAGTGATGCTCATGAATGTTTATGTATGATTGATATGAGTAATGCTCATGAATGTTTATGTATGATTAACATGAGTAATGCTCATGTATAATTTGAAGTACTGGGCGTACTTTTGATCACCTGGTTGGTGATAATAGCAGTAGGCTGCCGAATAATTTGGAGTATTGGGCGTACTTTTGATCACCTGGTTGGCAACAATAGCGGCAGAGTGCCGAATAATTTTTTGTAGTACTGGGCGTACTTTTGGTCACTTGGTTGGTACTATTTTGGGGTTATGGGTCTTCGCCCTCCACATAACATTCCAGCCCATTTATTTTGGGTTTTGCCCTTTTTTTTATTACCCTCTGATGGGGTTATACAGATATCTTCGAAAAATACGAAAAATAAATTACATCATTCAAAAATAAGGAAAGTAAACCACATCATTCTGGTGGAGTGTTTATTCCTTGCTTTTGCTGTCCTCCCTGCTCCTTCATTGTCCACCCATGTTGATTTGTAAGGCATCTTTTGTTTTGCAAACCACTTGCTTTTCTTGGACAGCTTGGTCGTGCCCATCACTCCTCATTTTTCTTTTTCTTTTTTTCTTTTCCTTTTGCTTTCCAGTGCGTCTTTGTCTCTGTCAGTCTGTGCGCTACCAGTTTTCAGAGTGGGTTCCTCCTGCTGCTTATCCATGTTACTGTTCTCACTAGAAATGTGAACACTTGCAGCCTGCTTGAATCGGACTCTAGTAGATTTCCAGCCAAAGTTTGACGGCAACGGCGGCGTGAATATCAAATCTGGCGGTTGTGGTTTTGGTTTCCAAATTTCGACGGGAAAAAAAAATCTCTTGATATTGCCAGCTTCTTTGATGGCTGCAATGATCTTGGTTTGGTCTGCAGTTTGCAGGAAACTCACCGTCGATATCACAACGTCCATCATAGCAACTGAAATCGCTGCAGCTACTGAAACCACCGCAGCAACTGAAATCGCTGCATGGACTTGCCGTTTAATAGGTTTTGTATGCTGTTGTGGGTTCAAAAATACTTAACGACGTCGTCGAACTCATCATAGGGTGAGACTGGAGGGCTATCCATCTCTGTTAGAGAACCACCATTATTCAGAGGTCCACTGCTATGTGAAAACCTCCTTGATGTCAATGAAGACACTTCATCTCTCACAGATTGTGACATAATGCGGTCAAGGACGAGCTGGGAAGTGACAGAGGAAACAAAGTAAAATTGGTTTCCGGGGAGGGACGGCAGCTCCTCTGCTTCTCCTGCGATGTCTTCGGGAATGGAAGGAGTAGTGGTTACGTGACGCCCGAGGCGGGTTATTCTCGTCCATTGGATTTCACCTGGAAGCATGAAGGGAGAGACGAAAACCACCAGAAGGAACAGAAACAGCTTGGAGATACCATTGAATCTCAAGAGGTGGCTGCCTAATTTGGCACCTCATATGTGTTTGGTAACTTGCAGTTCCCATCACCCACGCCTTCCCCCTTGATCTAGTGATTGAATTATCTGAAGAGACCAGCCTTGCAATCTCTGAAACCAAATGCTCAACTGGGCTATAATACCCACCAGAGTTTTGGTTTTGATCTCTCTCCTCATCACTAACAACCCACTTTAGATCTCCGGTGTAAATTATAGCACCTCTTTCTCCGAGAAATGATGAGTCCACTTTTCTTTTGAGCTCTAAGAGATTTGCTTCCACATCTTCTCTTTTCATGAACCTCACAGAAACAGGTGAGAATTGGAACTTGATGAACTGGGTTGATTTTAACGGTGATGCGAAAAGTGATCCTTGCGGCAGGTGACGCCATTTCCGTCTGCTTTTCGTGTTCTCGATTGCTTGGGTGCTTTGGCTATGTTAGTTGGCGTTGGCTTTAGCGTTGGTGAGGAAAATATATTTTGTTGTTTGGTGGTGCGTGATGGGTGAACCAACTGAGCATCCATGCCCACATGGCCAAAGACAACAATGGGTCCGCCCAGTTGCAGTTTCTCAGCTTCTTCTCATAGATGTTTCCAATGAAAATCCTATTCTGGGTTCGGGTTGATTGACCGGATTTTCTCGCCGGTCGCCCGGAAGTC